AGCGCAAGAGCATTAGAGATTAGATCTTCCTATTAGAAATACTTCTTAAGTCTTCTTCCGTAGAAAACGGCAGCCCCTGCCAATTTAAAATTGAAAAAGTTCCAATAAAAATACCAGTTTAACCGGTGGTGTAGGTCTGAGCGGATCCATTAGCGGAAGAGCATTGAGATTAAGAACTAGCGATAGTTTAATAAGAGTATAGTTGACTATACTGAACGAAAAAAATTGAGAGTTCATACTGCTTCGTTTTGACTGCAGGAGTGCAGACGCTTCTGCGACAAGCTAGGGTCAAACCAAATTGACCGTGGTCTTTCTGGTTCTTCTGTATTCTTTCTGCGCCACTTGTTTGTAAATCGTACTTGCTTACACTTTAGGAATGTTATATCTCATTTAGAGAGCTGAGATATTAACTTCAACTGATGTTACGGCGTTACCACGAATCTTTAGTTGCTTGGGAATCACCCAGATGTTTTAAACTACGGCTTACGTAAAGTAGTAGTTGCGGTATAAGATACGGAAGGGTTAACAATCGTATCGCATATCTTGCAGTGCAAATGTAATCGTTTTTAGTTGACGCCTGTTACATTTACACGTTTTCATCCAGTCACCGTAAGTAATTGTGATGCTTATTTTCTAAAATATGTATTTATTCATGCGAACTAATTTTATTTGCTTCGCTTCTTGCTGATAATACGCGTATGCGCTTAACAATAATAAACCTATGTGTGGGAAAGTGCGAGCACCAGTAAGTACACGTGTCATGTTACCAGCGATACTAGAGAATGAGGTGGCGAGCATTATTCATAAATATGCTGCAGCAATAGACTCTTAAAGATATAGAACGCATGGCGATTGTTTAAAGGCTTATTTCGTTGAGACCTTACTTATAGATTTGTCTTGTGATATCAATTCCGTTAAGTTTGCATAATAGAAGATCGAACAAGCTTACTCAAGATCTAACTGTTCATAACTGATGGCTTTTACTTGATGAAAATCCATTTATCAGAATAAATAAGAACAAAAGTTCAGATTTTCACGAAATTATATATTTTTACATGACAATCATTTGATAAAGACACGGTGTTGTCGAAACAATTGTTTCGTGAAAATCTGAACTTTCAGTTCTTATTTATTTTTATTGCAAAATCCATTACAATTAAGCTTTTTATTTTTATTTACTTTTTTTAATGGGCATTTCAGTTTACTTTAGTTACATGCACTTATTTCTATAGCTATTCGATAACTGCCTAAGAAGTGGCGTTGAAAAATATCAACGGGCGGTAACGCAATCGTCTCGAGGAAGGGACCCGAAGGGATAAACGAATGGGGCTATATTTACGTTGGCCTTGTTTCCTTCAAGGCAAACGCCACGGGACTCGATTCTGGAACATGGTTTAAACATATACAAGGGGAATTTTATGTGTATACGGAATCAGGGCAATGTGTGTGTGCAACGCAGAAGAGTGCCAATATGAATTAAGGTCTTATGTATACCTAAGTGGGTCAAGACGAACCTATTTAGCTGCGATAAAACGAAATCTGGTTCAAAGCGAACGCGTGATGTTGGTCTTCGTAAAGTTGGAATGTTTTCAAAGTTTGAATGCAGTTCGACTTTCCTTTTGGCAATCGGGCGGTTCTTATTTGTTTATAAATTAAAAATGTTAATACAAAAAATCCAATTCATCATTGCTATCTTCCGACTCGGAGAACGAGTGCTACTAATTTTATGAAATTGCTATTTTGTTATTGTTAGGTGCATTCTTGTTTTTTCAGTATAAGTACGTGCGTGTCAAATTAAATTACTTTATTATTTTATATTTATTATTAATTAAATAACCGTTACCTAGTTAACACGCAAACAGGTAAACAAATAAATTCTTTGAGACGCAATCAAGAGCCACATTTATAAAAAAGAAAAAGATACACGTTTGCATCGTTAAGGTTAAGATTTAACTGGTATTCACGTTCTGCTCTTCCTACGTTTAACCCTCTTCCCTTTGGTTGAAAACCTATTAAACAGAATACTGATATTGGAATTACCCAAATTTGTTTTCAACTAATGAGGTATATGCGAAATATAAAAAAAATGTACTTAGCATGTGTGCAAATTCGTTTTTTGGACAAAGTTCACTATAAGAAAAGAAAGGCGTGATTTAAATCAGCTTTTGGTATATGATAAAAGAAATGTTTATATGCATTATGTGACCTACTCATTTCAGGTTGGATATGGTCAAATTTTGGTAAGTTTCGAATGCGCCACTTTTGAATTTTCGTGCTACAGCGGCCATATACGACGTCACAGAAATTGAATAGCATGCATAACTATTTTCTTTTCATCGAATTCTGTGCAGAGAAATTTAAAAACACCCTGAGTAAGCAAAAAGCAATTTGAATCTCCCGCCTAAGAGGGTTGTTTTTTTTTTTTAAAAGGAAGTCAAAATTTTGTTCATACAACCTTATATTGTTTTTGGGAATAATTTGGGCAAATTTAAGCTTGAAGTAAATTGAATTACTTTTTTCCCATATCGCTAAACGATTTTCTACTGGTTTTGTTTAATTGGTTAGTATTTTGCATAATTCAACATTTTTTTTCAAAAATTTTGATGAATAAAAATTTTTTTTTTCATTGTAAATAAGTTTTTTGAAGAACATAACAATAAATACCCTCTTTGACGACTATTTATTGTTATGTTGCTCAAAAAAACCTATTTTTAACGTGATACGAGTCTTTTTTCCGATTATATAGAAAAAAAACTAATGTTGTGATGTTTTTACAAATAAGGCACAAATAAATTACAATTTAATATTGCCGCCAAAAAGTACCTTACCGATAGTCGGTAATAATAGTTCTAAAAGTGATTGAGTAGCGCTGTAATGGTTAAAAAAATACCAAGACTGTATATCACATACTTTGAAATATTATTCAATTTTTTTCCTTCATTAATTACTTAATTTACTTAGTAAAGTTGGTGCGTAATTATAAAAATAAAAATGTGAATATGGAATTGGGTGAGCAGTAAAGAACGGAGAATGGAGAAATGGGTTTTTCTGCAGCTTCAACAGCTTTTGGAGTACCAAAATGTACAAATAATCAGAATTTATAATTATTAGAGGAAAAAACAAAAAAAAATGCTTAATTTTTGCCTTAGGGGGGCCGCCTCGTCCCACCGTCCCCTATATACAACTACAGGGACAACGATATGTGTTGCATGTCGTCGGAAAATTGGACGTAACGCGTAGCACGGCACGCAGAAAAATGCGCATCCCTCGGTCTCTATATTTACATTTTATTCGCCGGTGCGACAGCAGCGGCGGCGTCTTTAAAAGATCGTAATGGTAGTCGCCGGATGCTTTTTCTTCCCGGCGAACGATCGATAAAAACGCAATAATGACGCCATAAATAAGCGTTTATCGGGCTCACTACTTTCATTTTTGCATTAGGCTAACGGACGCGCTCGTTTGTTAAAGAAATGCCCCACCGGCCAACAGTCATTTGTTCTGTTTGGCTTATTTTTCTTTGACTCTCTCGCGCGAGTGACAACAAACGATGTCGTTTCGGATATTAATGAAGCCCCCCCCCCCCACCCACGTTTTACAAGAAAAATGTCCTGCACGAGCCGCGGACCGACAGGATTGAGCGTCAGAAGGTTCGAGTTGCATAACAAGCACTTCACGTTTGCGATTGGTCGATTGGAACGCGTCACGCCGAAAACGCGCCTAGGAATTACAAGGGGACTCTCAAAAATGGAATTACAGAAGGGCGTGTCTTCAAGAAATACTTACTGCAGGTTTAGGTATTCTTCCGTCTTCATTGTTTTTCTTTCCTCTCCTGAATCCCGCAGACTCAGTTTTATATAGGGAATAGGAAAATCTTTTTACAAAACTTCAGAGCTCGGCTGAAACTGAAAAAGTCTACAGGATGATTGGACAGAATTTTTATAAAAAGTATTGCAGTAGTCTGTGGAAGTTTCTTCGAAAAATTAATAAGCAACCAAGTCAGCACTTTATAACTTTATATTATATATTTTTCTATTATATATTTTATTATATATATTATATATTATATATTTTAGATTTATATATTTGTATTCAGTTAAGCTGTTAGAGAAATTTTCTATGTATCATGGGGAAGATGCTCCTCTCGAAGAACAGATATGCGTATTGTTATTTTTCAAGCGCCCCTAACTCTTTATGCCGGAAAAAAAGCAGTCCCTTCAATTTCACTATATAGAGTTTCGAATGTATGTGTACTAGTGTAATTCGTCTCGTGCAATACATAAAATACCTCCAGTTTTCGTATGCCTGGTCTTTTCTTGCTTTGCTTCATATTCTTCAAGTGTCAATAGCAATAGCAATAACTACATCCCAAAACTCCGTTCGCTTACCTAATTACCTGCGCGTTATTAACAACTGGGAATTTATTTTTACAATGCGAAAGCAAAGACGCAAAAAACTTCTCGCGATAATATCTCAGACGCCGCACCCGCGCCCATAAAACGACACTTACAAAGAGTTTCGCAACTAATCGCAACTCGTTATTTAAAATTTTTTCCGTTTTTTTCCTTCCTTCTGCCTTTACGAAAACAACGTTCGATTAATATTATTTATTAATATGTGTAACGCAGCGTGTCAGAAAAAAAAATTATTAAACATACGTACGATAGTCACGCCTGTCCTTGGCGAAATTAACGTGCAAAATATATACGTTGCGTATATACTCGGTGGTTTCCGGGCTTGCGCAAAACCGATTATAAATCGCTCGTGAAAGGACAGAAACCTTATTCGGGCGGTATTGTTTATTTGGCCTTGCTTTAATCTTTCATAAATGATCGCGAGGTGAGATTGTCGGCTCGAAACCGGCCAGTCACGACGTACCCATAAGAATATTTTAATCGAACCGGCAAACCAAATAAAAATCACAAAATCCAGTTCGAATTTGAATACGACTCTTGCCTTTTTTTTTCTTTTTGGTATGCTGACGGGAGTTTTCGTTGTTTCAGACGAAGAAAAACAACCCGAACCACATCAAACGTCCGATGAACGCGTTCATGGTGTGGTCGCAGATCGAACGTAGAAAAATCTGCGAGGTATCGCCCGATATGCACAACGCGGAGATTTCGAAGAACCTCGGCGTACGCTGGAGGCAACTGAACGACGAGCAACGCAAACCCTTCATCGACGAAGCCGATAGGCTTCGCCAGCTGCACCAGAAGGAGTATCCCGATTACAAGTATCGTCCCAGGAAGAAGACGGCCAAACCGACGCCCAAGTCGAGCGGCGCCAAGAAATCGTCGAAACGCAATCAGAAATCAAAACGGAACGACAGAAACAATAACGATTCGGTACTTAAGGATAAGATATTCGCCAGGCGTACGTCGGTTCCGGAATCGGTGGTGTCCAAACTCAAGGTGTCGCTATCCGCAGACGTGGAAACCAGCCTGGGACACGCGTACGAACCCGTAAGACAAAGCTTGCCGACTCCGACCACCCAATTGCCCCCGATTAGTGTTCTTTCCGCTAAAGTACCGTCTAGCCCGAGTTGCGAAACTCCGGATTCACCGGAGAGCGCCACCATTTACGAAGACTCGTGGGTTAATACGTTCGTGAAGGAGGAACCGGAGGACAGACTCACGCACGTACCCAACGCGACACTGGACGATTTAGACAACATCGATCTCTTACCCATGGACGATATCGATCTGGAAAGGTTGGCCGATATCGATTCCAGCTTCGACACCGCGTCCAACAGTTCCGGCTCGCACCTGGACTTCACCTGCCCGAGAGACATCCCGATATTTTCAAATATCGGCAACCATTGGCCAGACGAGGGGTTCATGATGTGTTAAACGGAAACAATAAGACTGTCGTTTGAACTCTTTTTTCGTATATAGGCACATACAATCATTGTTATTGGTCTATATAGACTCGGTATAGTCCAGTCGGTGTGGCTCCTGTCGATTCACATCCCCCAAGTCAGCTCAATCGGCTACATCGACTAGTTACTAATATTATATACATATATATATTCTAATTTAACCCCAAATATTGATCTCATTTTCGTGTTTATTTTTTTTTTACATTTTATAAACGAAAAATGAAAGCGCTGTCGCCGTTTAGTTCACCGAATGTGGGTTCTCCGTCTTAATTAAAATCAACCAGTTGTTAGTGCCTAGCTCAGTATAATTATGTCGGACCGGGTAGACCGGCATTATAGTTTAAACAGGTTTTAAACTCCGTCGAATTGCGATGGGACACAAAATCAGGCTGTGATTCATCTGTTTTGATGACCAATATTTAGTTGTCAAAAAGTCCGTTTAGTCTTTGACAGGTGCTGCCGCTTCTAACGTTGGAGGATACACGTCACATTTATGATTTTTTGTGCCGGCAACTTTTAAGTTTTCACAGTCTGACGGAAAAAAGTTTGGGCCCTTGTTGTTTTTCCACCTCGCGCGATAATGCCGTTTTACTAACGCGGATTAGTCCGACACAAACGATTTTTTTTCTTTCTTTCAAAACAACCAGCACCGAAGCTTTTTTAACTCGGACTCTTTAGAATTTTCGGAGATTTTTTAAGTTGTTTTCTCGATCAGAGTGGTACTTAATTTGTTAAACGTCGGTTGTTGTAGATGCGGATGAAATGGGTACGTACACGCGGTTATCGTCATTTTTCGGGTACGCTCGGGATCGCTCGTACACGCTGGCTAAAATGTTGATAGAGATTTCGCGGAAGGCCGCCGCGTCTGGCAGACCTGTTTGAAATTTTTCGGTCGCACTGGAAACACTTGTTTGCTAAAGGACCCTTTTCCGAATTTTGTTGGTCCTTTAAGTCTTAACAATGGAAGAAATTGTTATATTAAACTTTGATATCAAAGTCTATTCCTTTTTTAAAACCTCCATATTATTGGACGTGTGGAGTTTGTAGGAAATTTTTTCTGAAACGAAAAATGCAACTACAACTTTTCAAAGAATTTACTTGCAATATTTCGCTTTCGTACCATTTCAAGCCACTAAAATCAAAATAAAACATAAGTTCACCGTTCGCGCGTATAAAACTTTTAAATGCTCAGGAATTTGTTTATCCTGAGTAAGGTTTCTAAAGGGTTTTCCAACTGAAATGAATGCATTTCAGCTCTAATATTCACATAAAATTTTTCACTGCAATTTAATTTATTAAAACTCAATAAAATCTCATAAATCTATTTACTCTGAGCAAAGTATCTATAGTCTTTGCTGCATTTCCTAGAGGCAATGATGATGATGATGATTAAATTATTGAAAAGTAGATTCTTGACGAATCACAGGACTCACAGGACTCCTCGCAATACACAGGAAAATTCTATAGAAATTTTACGTTGAAACTTAAGTTTGGTAACTTTGTATGTATGTATAGTTTATAAAAGGCTTTCGCAACGAATTTCCTTGCAACACTTGCAATAATTCTTGGTAAATCGCAGTAAACCGCTGTAAATCATGGGAAATCCTCAATAAAAGGCGGTAAATCGACGAAGTTCGATTCGAATTTGATGGAAGTGCTCCTATTTAGGTCGATTGCGATACAATGTACGTCGGGAAGTAATGACATTTGAATCGAAACAACATCCAAGAAAAATAGATCAATTAATCCGACCTGAATGTCCGATATGCGGGTCGAATTGTAAAAATAACAGCCGAACATAGCGCGCGCCATTTTTATTTCAAACAGGTATGTTGGAGCGGATCGCCGCGCGCACACTGTTGTAAATAATAATTTCTTCATTGTTCCTCTCGCCAAGTTAAATAATAATAAACGACGCTTTCCATCTTCTTGTATTACGCTTAAAGGAAACTTATCTTTCGTTTCGATTCTCGACGAGGAGAAAGTCAATGCACAAACTAAATCTTAAGGAAAATAGCGTTTTTTAGAAGAAAAAAACGTTTTTAAAAAATTTATAAAGTTTTTAGAGTAGAGAGCAACATCGATATTCTTATATTTAAACAAAAAAAAATAAAAGGCGTCTAATACGAAACGTCATACGTGTGCTTTCAGTGTAATAGAAGTTATCTTTAGCGCAGCACAAATAACTATTTTGTGAGACGATGAACGATTTTTTGGAGATCGAACGTGGCGCGTAACTTGCGCAGAATCGCACAAACCGCTGTTTAGAATTTGTCGAAAGCCGTGGACTGAATTCATCTAGACTTCCACTCCAATACTGAGAAAATTTATCTCGATCAATTTGGACACCAACCTGCAACCAAACTACAGGTTTACAATACGTCCTGGCCTAAAGTGATGGTTGCTATGTTAGTGTGACGTACGATGGCCATTATTTCTCGAGCTGTCGAAGTTTACTGTCCAAGCGAACCATTTAGCTTATTCAGTTTTTGTGAACGATTGACCCGAGTTGTTGGTCGCAGTGTACTATTCGACTATTGCGTGGTAAATGTTCGAATTAGTTTTCAGCACATTCATGCACACCCTACATGTTTGGAGTAAACGATTTTCCTATTCCTAAAACATCTGTCGGATATGGAGTTCGTATCTAAATGAACGCATCCAAACGAAAGTCAAATACGAGGGCTACCTTTTATATTTCGGCATTTGTAATAAAAAAACTATAAGCTACCAACCAATATGACATTATTGTTTCTCAAAATATTCATCCTGATGATCAATACACGTCGAGTCCGGCACCTCCAAAACATTCTTTTTAAACGCATCAATCGCTTCTTCTGGGGTCAAAAATCGTTGCCCACGTAATTTATTCTTAATGTTGGGAACAAAAAGAAGTCCTTAGGTGCTAAGTCAGGATTATATGGTGAATGGCTAATGAAATCAACGTTTTTAATGCTCAAAAAGTTGTTTGTTTGCACTGATCGGTAAGAGCTAGTATCGTCTTCGACAGTTGGTTTTTCTAATTTCTCCGAAGACTTTCGGCAAACAAATGGTTGTGTACGATTCAGAATTGACTGTTTTACCTTTCAAAAAAGAAACAATTGCAACGTGGCCAGGCTACCATAGCATTTCCTCCGACCAATCAACACGAGCCGTTTTTTGAGCTGATGTCAAATTGTGCGGTCAAATGTTTATGCAAAATTGTATGTACGCTGGTCCCAGTAATGCTCAATGATACCTCAGTCTCACGGTAAGTCACATGACGATCTTGTAAAATCAGTTTCCACATTGCATCAATATTTTCTTGGACAACCACCGATTTTACACGAAATTCATCCTTAAGAAAACTACTATCACGACTGAAGTCCGAAAACTGCGATAGTAGCCCTAGATCGTGTCGAAGTCGAATTAAGTTCATCGATTGAGTTAGTTCACGTCTAAATTTGTAAAAAATTGTTACACGAAAATGCTCCCGATTAAGTTCCATTAAGCTACATTTTTTTAATTTATCACAAAAAACACAAAAACTTCCGCCAAAACCTAACTGAGTAAACCTAACCTCAAAATGTCAAACTTCCCTATAAAGACGTTAGACGCCAGATGGCAGGACTGTTTTAAGAAAAACGTAGCCCTCGTAGACCCTGGTTTCAAGACAAGTTGCTTCAAACCTTTTGATTTCATCCCAGTTTCCAGGCAGTTGTCGAAAAGTTTTGTTTTATTCGACACTAGTTCGTGTTTGGTCCGCTTAGTAGAAAACCGGACTTATATTTACGAGTGGTAATTCCGATAATTAACGAATGCACAAAAACTGAAAGACCCACAAAAACTGCGGATCGTAAAAGTTGACAATCAGGAATCGAAATGGACGATGGTACGGCATCACTTCTATTATTCTTCTACTTGTACTATTTTTCGTACTCTTCTTCTTTGGCCTTCGATGTTTAAATGGCGTGGCAAAGTCTTCCGGTCTGGATGTGTTTAGTCTATCCCACGCGGTCGTGCGTTCTGTGTTTGTTTTCCTCTACGGTTCTAATTGGAAATATTTGTGCTGATTAAGAATATAATAATAAATTTAGATCGGACTGTCCGTATATTTATAAGAGTTTTCGAATTTTAAAATTTTATGAGGCCTGGTACAGTATGAAAATAAGTAGAGTAACATCGGTGTATTTTTGTACCCAATAGTTATAAAGGTACCGTTCGTTGGCGAAGTCCCTCGAAACTCAATCCGCTGACTGATTTAGATGTAGGAATTTAGGGTGTGGACGACGACGGGGGCGAAGGGATTTGGATTTCGGATCGCCACCCCCCACCCCCCAACCCCGCGCCGCAGCCCGTTCGGTATTGTAATACAAATTCTTCTCGTGTTTTTCTTCTCGCCACGGTTTTTTTGCGTTCGACTGTCCGTTTCGAGAGCGTGTGTCGCTTGCGCGAACGAACGGCGCCATTTTTTTTGTACATAATCTGTAAAAATTTGCTCATAATGTAAAGATTGTTTTCGTTGAAGGTGTATTGTTTATTATTATTATTATCAGTCGGTTCCCGATCAACTGCAATAATTTTTCTGGAATTTCGTCGAATTTTTTTCTGCGACTGGCGATTCGACATTTTCTTAGATATTATATCCCGTCGATATCTAGTCTGAACGGAAGACGATTAAAATGTACGATAATAAAAAAAAATGTACGGCGTTAATTTGTCGCATTGTTAATTTTTATTCTGGTGAACGAATTAAGAGATTACGAGTTAGCAATATTTTTGCATATTACCTTGTTGTATCATAGACCTTTGCATTTGTAAATCCCCATGTATTATATTCATATTAAACTATATTGAAGTTATGATATAGTGTGTAAATTTTGTATTGTAGTTGCTGTTGAATATATTACTATATGGCTAATAAACTGATTTTTCAATTTACGTTCGACTTTTATTTATTGCGGCCGAAAAGAGTTGACTTACATTCCCGAAAAAAGAAAGCTTTTGTGTCCTTAGCGGTTCTTGTTGTCATGGAAACAAAGCACACAAGGTAAGTATAGTTTGCATAATAGAAAATAGCAGCTAATCACAATTTCAAGTTTACACTAGCCAAGGTTAATCATTAATTCTGCGTTTTAGCAGAATTTTTGTACAAGTCGGAGGTTATTGGCAGCTTGCAGGGTGTTTTAAGCGTATTTCAAATGGACTTGCATTATTCAATATCTATTTTCGGAACAATACAAACCGGCTCACGGTCACTGCTGTTGATTGTTTTCTTTGAATTAGATTTTGTTTTTACAAGCAACCGCTTTTAATATAATTATATACGGTAATGATTTAAATATCTGGCTTCTCTGCTCTAGCCTCAAAATAAGTTCTTCCGCATTCCTTAAGGGCAAGGGCGACAGTACTAGAGAAAACTGGCTTTCTAAAAGAATCTCTAATGTCAACTGTAGTTAAAATTTTTAAGCTGAAACAAATTCAAATATTTCGTTCGTTTCCCTAATTTCGTTCCTCGCTTCCCTTACGGGAACACCCTCTATATGAAGGGTGTTTCAAAAAGTTCTGGAAATTTAGATAAATGTTTTACTAATTTGTCAATATTACCGTGTACTTTTTCAACATATCCATTTGACTGAATTAGTAATAATTTTCTTAACATAATATTTATTAATTTGATAAATTCAGTTCCATTTGAGATGCCAGGAGTTTACAGCGTTCCATGCGACAAAGAATACATTGGAGACACCTGTTCAAAAATAACTAAGTTCAAAGGACATGAAGGAGCCTTAAAACTAAGACAAACTGATCAGTACAACACAACGAACACAATCATGAAACCGGACATCAAATTTTATTCGTTAAAACTAAAATTTTTGCAAGTAATCAATTCTTCTACCAACGAAAAATCCGAGAGTCTATAGAAATCTATAAGCAACTTGACAATCTTCACCGCGACTCAGTCACCAACAACAATATAAACGCAGGTACACAGTAAAATGCGAGCTCTGAAGAAGCCAACAGCATCATTGGCGAAACGTAAGCTAGTTTGAATCAACAAAAACTGGCCCAGGAGGAATCCAGAAGTTTTATAAAAAGTATTACAATACCCTGTGGAAGTTTCTTTGAAAAAAAAACGTATTTGAATGAATGAATGAATGAACGATTAGGGGAATACTAATAAAAATATCGATTCCGTTTAGTTCTCAGAATGATGCAACGACGTAATGCACAATATAAATTTCCTGTATTTTTAGAATTATGTCCTTCAATTGACACAAAAAATTTGACTGGTGAGTTCTACAATGCGAGACGGGGTCCTTTTCAAATCTGAGAACATATTGCCATTACTGAGTGCAAGATCTGGGGAATAAGGTGGGCGCGAAAGCGTAAATATTTCAAAATATAGTTTATTTTTCTTGCTGTGTATCGTGGATTATGGTCTTGAACCAATGGATGCTTATACAACTTTCCAGGCTTTTTTTAAATAATAAATACGAATAACGTTAACTGTAGTACCTAGAATACAGTATGCATTATCTTCCCAATAGATGGAAATGTCGGCTCCAGCAATCAAAACTGCTTCTTCAGATTTGCCCCATTCTCTTGGTTTCATTGGAATAGGTAATCCACGTTTCATTATCAAATCGATCAAATTCGTCATCATAATTGCTGTTTCCACAACTTTCCACAAACCTAAAACCATTGCTCTTTGAGATTTTGTTCCGCCTTCAATGGTTACAAAAACAGTGCCATGAAGCCGCACGTCAGTCGGACACCTAAGTCGGCAGTGAATAATATGACACTAGATGGTTGCATAAATACGTAAAGACTTGTTTAGCACCGATAATGTTATCCAGAACTTTGGAAACATCCCTCGTATGTTTTAATATGTTCAAAAGAGTTTTGCTCGCACACCCTTGCAACCTTTCATTTGATCACTACATTCAAATTCACATGACTTCTTGAAAGCAAAATCATCAGGATCTGGCAAAGCAAATTGCTTATAGAGCTCTTTCTAGCTGAGTTAGGCATCATAGGAAGTTTTTCAACGGTTATTACACTTACAAATATGGAGATATTTATTTAGCACAGATAATATTATCCAGTACTTTGGAAACATCCTTCGTATGTTTTAATATGTTCAAAAGAGTTTTGCTCGCACACCCTTGCCCTCCATCATTTGATCACTACCTTCGAATTCACATGACTTCTAGAAAGCAAAATCATCAGGATCTGGTAAAGCAAATAGTTTTTAGAGCTCTGTTTAGCTGAGTTAAGCATAATATTTCGGTTTCTAAATTCGATTGGACTATCTTCTGCTTTCTTAACTTCATGATATTCCAACAGGGCAAAAAAGTGAACCCTCAAGTTTTGGCAGATGCGTAATTATAATTAACAGTACAATGCCATAATCGTACATCAAAGGGAAGTTTCGAGTTGAATAGCAGAAGAGTTGTTTCGCCATAACATCCCTTCTCATTTTAGGCCTCGAGTATAGTGTCTGACGAACAGGTGTATGTACTTTGAGGCCTTTTAGTTTATTAATTCTAACATTTGCGCGTTATAGGCGTAGCTAAACTGCGCCATAAAATTTAATTTTGGAAAGCGGTTTCTGCCAGGTAGAACCTAAGTAAATAATCCGGGTTTACCTTTTCAGTCAGTAAATTTTACAGGTCCGCAGTTCTGCTAATAAAAGTTTATTATCGAGCGAGATTTTAGCCCGTCGGCTTCGCATCAGGTAGCAGCAGTTAAAAGATTAAAACACGCGTTCGGATTCAGATAAGCGTTATATTTCGCTATCGTTATCGATGAGAAGTCAAGTGTTCGGCAGTTGTTCTAGCCAGACTTGGAGTTAGACTTTGTAAACCATTCCGCAATCCTACCATAAAATAATACTTCACAGAAATCCTGCGCACGTAGGATTGATTTCTGTTCCAAGAAACTAGATGTGACTTGCTTTGAACCATCATGAGGTCATAAACTAGAAGGCCTCTAGAAAAAAGAATCATATTGCGAGATAATGCCAACAGAAATTCTGCAGTCATTATTATCAGATTAAAGTGTCCACTAGTATACACACACAGCGAATACTAAATGGGTTACTACAAGATACATATGATAAACTAATATACTTACATAACTACTATCTTGAGATCACAAAGGGCCCCCCAAATTTTAATTGCCTGTGATAATTATTTAAATGTAATTTGTGATTTTTTTATATTTGATGAATGCATGTGTATATAGAAGATACATATTTAGAAAAAGACACTTATATTTCAAGAAAATAAAAATATTAGAACATAAATAAGCAACACCTTCCTTTTTATATACACAAAAACAAACGTTCATTTGAACAAAAATAAAAAATATTGGAACAAAAAGTCTATTCTCTTGAAATAGGATTCTCATAATACTATCTTCACCTGTAGTAGAAGAAATATATATTCAAATCTCAACTAAAAAAAGGGCACTCATGTTTTTCATATAATTTTTGAAAATATGATTGCAATAGAAATTGATTTTTTATATAGCTATTCTTGGCATGAAGTACAGGTGACTTGTTGTAGTGAATGGGTTTTGCAGATTGTCCTATGACATTCTGAGCACCCCTGGCACCCCTGGCACACAGTAGTATCTACGCCTTTCAACATTACCTTCTCGTCAGGGCTGATCATCGCGAGTCTTTTTTTCCAGGATTACCTGCGTGAAAAATGACATGACTATTTACCATAGCGATATCCATTATAGCGTACCAAATAACCAAAGGCCATCGACGACATCTTCGACCTGAACGATAAAGCGCACATTTTTGGTCAAGGGCATCAACGTCTACTTTCGTCTCATGAAACATTATTATCTCAGGTTTTTTTAGTTTCCTGATCAACAGAGTTGTCGTGGTGCATGGTGGACAACATGATCACACTTTAATTTTTTTAGGGACATATGATATTATTGTGTGGTCTCGAATAAAACCAAATAGACACTTATCAACTTCGTAGTTTTTATTAGGTTGAAATTGCGGAGGAATTTTCGTCTTGTTTTCACCCACGGTTCTCGCATATCTAAGTCCAAGTTTCTTTAGTTCACTAATTAGCTTTAATGAAGTGAACCAATTATCACCAGTGACATTCTGTTACCATTAGCCAATGGATTCACTAAAGTGAGTATTGATCTGGTAGGTATGGACACCTTCAGAGGATTTGGTTCACTGGTTTTGCCCGTATACACGAAAGCATTTACCAAATAATGTGTCTTGGAATCATATAGACACATAATCTTGATGCCGTACTTGACCGGTTCGGCTTTCATATACATCCTAAAAGGGCATCTGCCCCTAAATCCAACCAACACCTCATCGATTGTGACATATCTGGAACAGGGGTAATTTGCTATACTGTTGGCTATAAAAGTGTTGAACAAGTAGGATATTGCTGCAAGTCTATCATCACTTGCCTTTGCTGCAAGTCTATCATCACGGGCCTTTTTTTGCTCTCTTATTACATGATTATCAAACCTAATGGCAGTGAGAAGAAATAAAAAGCGTTCCTTTGACATTGTTGCCTGAAAAATTGGTCTGCCTAAGCAACTTGTTGAAAATAGTGACTGTACATCCTCGTGATTGGATTTGAATAAACCAGAGAGATATAAAATACCCAAAAAGGCCTTGAGTCCAGCTTCGCTTACATGATCGGCAAATGTGCATGTATCTCCATAATTCGCACTGAGGTAGGTAATTTTTTCACTTGTATACTCTAAAATGCTGGCTAACATATTAGGGGTTATCAGATGGTTTTGATGGTAAGTCAGGATTTTTAGCCCCCTTGTATCTGTTGCGTCCGTAATAATAATTTTCAGACGATTCTTCATCATATGCTGATTCAACTTCGTCGCTAGTGTAATCTGCGTCACTTAGATGGATTTCTGAGGATGTATCA